TCCTTCTCCTTCTCCTTCTCCTTCTCCTTCTCCTTCTCTTAAACCACGTTGAATGAGATCATATATAAAAAAATAATGATAAAATGCTGCCTGAAAAGAATATCCAAGCACCTTTTGAATAGGAAAACATTTTTCACTACTCGTGCAACACCGTGTGTTGCAAGAAGTAGGATTTTGGTATACAGTAAATGCTCCTGCAAAGCATTGTGCTTATAGATGTATCCAATAATCTGAACCATGTTCAGCTACTTTAATTCAGGAACTGTTCTTCTACACAGCTTTCACTGTTGACTAGTGAGACAGGATCTCAGTTCTGTCAATTCAGCTGCCCTCCTCTGGGTACTGTCTTAACACTCCCTCTGTCTCCCCTTGGGGAGAACTTCTTGCCCTGTTTTCTTTCTTCTCGGCTTCACTGTTTCTTGTCTATACAGAATGTGTTTTAAATGGAGAGGGTTGTACGCTGCATACTTCTTCCTGCGTAAGCCCTCCATTAAACGAATGTGGTTTGCATCAAAGCAGCTCTCGTTCATCGCGGTGGGCTTCCGGTGGACAGTTTCCACATGCAATTTGTGTGTTGTTTATAGCTTATACTGTAACCTTGAACTTGTATTGACTTTCTATATTCCTTCTGAAGTATCGGTGGCTTCCTGACCCAGTGTCTGCAGAATGCAGAACTCCTGTCTTCTGGAATGGCACCATTTCGTATTTATTGTTGGCCGGCTTACCGTATTTTACATGTTTATGTCTGACTGCGGCGTGGAGCCTGATCCTGCACTGTATACTACAATGTGAAGTGAGCGTCTTCCGTGAATGTGTGATGCAGCTTGTGACTTTGGCTGGGCTGAAGCTCCCAGAACTCCTGGAAGCTCTGCTTCAGTATCTTCCTTCAGTGTTGATATCTGGTCTTTTGTTATTGTGGCCTTCCTTGGGCTCCATTAAAAGCTGATGTAAAAAACAAAAAAGCACTGTTTTCTGCTGCAAGAACTTTGCATGGAGCTCCCAGGCTTTGAAGGACTCAAAGCTCCTGTCCTCCGTATGTCCTTTCCCTGAAAGCAAATGGTTGGCCAGGTACCGGTATATCCACAGCTGTGCCATCTCCGAAGCGGATACTTAACTGTCTCCGTCTATTTGACTATGACCAGTAGCAAGCCTTTCTGGATTCAGAAACTGCTTATCTGCTTCTCCAGAGAGCAGCATGTTGTTTTGCGCACACCAAAAGAACTGGAGTCATTGGGCAGCTCTTACCAGCAGGCAGCAGCATGGCTGCTTCGCATTTTAACAACATTGCTTTATGCACACCACCTCCTGTGAACCTTGGCTCTTCTAAGTTGCTCTCTTTCTCCTTTGACGTTCCAAAACTCGGGACCCGCAGCCACCCTCCCCCTCCTGGGATGGCTTTCTGTAGAATATATATGGTAATAGTTTGCAGCAACTGTAGGACAACATGGAAAGGGGAAAGGCTAGGAAGATGTCAGGTCTGTTTTATGCCGATTTATTGATGCAACTTTTGGGTTGGATCCAAATTTGCACACCAAGTGTAAGTGAAAAAGCATGTCTACTCGTATATGGGGGAAGGGACAAAACTGGCAGAGGCATTTTGTTGGGGAAGGCGTCTTCAGGGGATGGGGATGGAACTGGAAAGCAAGCAGAGCACCCATGTGCAGAGGGTGTTATAACTGTGAAGTTAAAATATGTGATATATGATCTTAGGAGGTCAAATACCTGCTTTGTTTTAATTTATTGCAACATACAGACATTGGTGCGCTCAGTTCCAACTTTGAAATTTGAGCTGAGTATAAAACTCAGTGTTATCATCACTATTGTTTGGAAGTACTTAACAGAAGGGATGGAAAATTTACCTGGAAACATTTCAGGGTTTTGGATTTTTGGGAAAATCATATGTGTGCATGTATGTAATTATACAGTGTACTTACCGGTATATCATGCTCAACCACATAGAAGCCCCTTTTAGATCTACATATGATGGCAAGGTTAAACTCCTTGCCATTTTGTGCATACATCTCATTAACATGTTTGGAACTTCTGGCTATTTTTTTTTTTTTACCTTCTAATATGACTCCAAAGTTACGAGAGTTTAACTCCTTTAGGTTTTGCGTGTGCGTGTTTAGCAAATTCTGACACTATGAATAGGTCCATGGGCTTCATTTCTGAAAGCGGAGCTCTTCGTTTTCCAGTCCTGCTGTCCTCTCCCAGTCTAAAAGACAGTAGTTTGTTTGTTTTTTCAGAAGAAATGAGAATATACACTATGTGAATTTTCAAAATAAGGGGGTTTGTGGCATCTTTGGAGACTGTGGCAATTTCTGCAGCATCCATGATTACACCTCCTGGTGAGTCAGCAGGTTTAAATCCTTCCCAAGTCTCTTCTGAGAGACAACGCAAAGGTTGTATGTGTTATATTGCATTTTAAGTGTAAATTAAAATGGAACGTGATTAAGGACTCATTCCTTGTGTGCCTTTATTCTGCCTTTTATTTAAATTTCCCCCTTCCTACCATTTCTTTCACCTCCTGCTGTTTCTCTGTCTTTATGGATTTTGCTGTTTTTATTACTCTCAGACTTTTCATTCCTCTGTTTTCCTTTTCAGTCTTTCCACATTCTTTTTTCCTGCCTCTTCGTGCCTGCTTGCCATAAGGATTTGACTTTCTTTTTGCCCCATATCCATCCTCTCTTGGGAGATCTTTCTGCCCCTTTGCGTCTCAAATAGAGTATTCGCTGCCAACCACTGCTGTGGCCTCTGAACCCCACACCTTCTTAGAGAAGATACAGTTTAAGTTTTTGAAACTATCTGGATAAATCTGAGTGGATATTTCTTAGTAGTATTGGAATGGCAACTATCCAGTATGTTAATCGGATTGTTCATCGGTATTTTAAAAATAGCTTTTGGGAATATTTATTTTGATATATTGCGTGTATTTATCTGGGAAATTTATTGATCCTAACATTTTGAGGGAGAATAATGGGAGAACTTGGTCTTCTGTTTTAAAACTGGGGGAAGAGCAGAAAGGAAGTACATATTTTAATAGACGGTTTTAAAACAAACCTTTTTGGCCATACATCTTAAAAGGGTTAAAATCCAAAAAGTGATTTGCATTTTTCATGCTTTGTAAATGACAGAAATGTTCACGATATCGCACGCACACACACCCCTTATTCTGAGTGCAGATTGATCTGCATTCATCAGTTCCAAATGAAACTTTGCTTGATAATAGAGCTTTAATTAGACTTGAAACATCGTCGTTCAGAATTATGGAATTGCACTACTGAGGTGTTGATAACTCGAGACCTTTGGATGTTTACCAACATTTACTGGACTTTCAGAGGCATGTGATATTTATCAGAATTCCTTCACGATTATCAACAGTATTCACATTTGGGGCATTGGCTATAGCATATGCTTATGGGAGAACATTTTGTGACCTTAGGAATGGGATAATGTTTAGAAGAAAGCCCAACAAAGTTCCCCAAGATTACAAAATAATAGCCTTCGCACTTACTGAAGTTTTGTATTTGTACAGCTTTAAAATACTTAACTATGTGGTATAGCAGTAGTTTGATTTTTCTTTCCATCTACTTGTCTTCCTAGTTGGATGGGCATTTTGCAATTATCCTGGAGCTAAATGTAAGGAATTGCTTCTGGTGATGATGAGATGTTTTAGTTACAAGTGTTCTTAAGGGGGTTTTTTGGGTGGGGGTCATCGTCATTGTCGTCCCTGCATATTCCCTTCAATTTGAACTGGTGGGATCTTGTCTATTTGGAAACTCATATCTGTGAAAAAAGAGGATCAACATGTCTATGAAAAGTTTGGTGCAGCAATTGTGTACTCTTCACTGGCTGTTCTTAAACTGTGGCTATTCACATCAAATAAAGCAGTACATGGGCATTACAAAAATAAACAAAGCATGTACATGGATTCTATTCTTGGACAAAAATAAAAAAAATTGCAAAGCATGTATATGGATTCTACAAAAAATATTTTAAAAATTAGCTTCCCCCTCCCTTCATGGTTAGACTCTCCTTATTTCATACTGATGCTCTCTCCAGAACAGCATGAAATCGTAAGAACTATTTGCTTGAGTTGTCTCAGAGAAATTCCACAGAGTTAAAAGGATTTTGAACACTTTACATGATATTAGTAGAAAGTTGGATCATTTTAAGGTCAAATTCTTTGACACTTTCACTCAGCCTCTCCCCACCCCTTCTTTAGTAGCAAAAAGTATATCCTGGCATTTCAAATGAGAGGTGAACTATGCAGTAGGATATCCTATATGAGCACCTTAGGCTAGAGAAATCACTTTTTCATTCTTGTGTGCTGCTGACATATATGAAGTGCACTATATCATGGACTCATTGTGTGACCTTGGAGCAAGCTATGCTTTTTCCTCAGCAGGGGTGAGGAATCTGAGGCCCAGTGGCCTCAGGATTCTCCCTACATCCTCTGCAGCCTGGCTCCACACACACACACACACCCTCCCTGCCGGCCACCCAATGTTTTTGTGTGGCTGGAATATATTCTAGCACTGTGGTTGTGCCTCTGGCTTGCCTGAAGGATGCCGAGGTATTCATATTGGAGGAAACAAAGCTGAAGACAAATGATTCACTCCCTGGAGAGATTGGCAGGCCAGAGATTTCTGCTCAAAAAGCCATTCCAATCTGTACGCTGCTGCACCGCTCTGGCTCTCATGTAATTGTACTCCTTCGCGTAGGGGCAGACCATTCACAAGCAGAGGCCGAAAGTGAATGTTACAAGCTGAGTCATCTCCTTGCCTCTTGTCGCTTGCTGAGGTTTGGACAATTATACACAGCAAGGTTTCCAGCAACTGCGTAACAGGAATGGGTCACGTGGGGCCCTCTCAATGTTGATGAACGAACCCCACATCCCTGGCTAGGACCGGTGGGAGTTGGGGTACAACATCTGAAGGGCTGTAGGTTTCCCACTCCTGGCACAACAGCTACAGATAAGGAAGAATTAAAGTCACCAAGCAGGCACACAAGCATCAAAGATGCATTTATTCAAGTACATAGGTAGAGACAATTTGCAATATATGCATATAATGCCCATTTGAGCGATAGTGAGGCAGGGAATCAATCGGCTGTAGCACCTTAAGAGGAAAACTCTGAAAAAATTCCTTTGCCTGTGACAAATTATGTTGATTTAGGTTTTTATATGCCATCAAGGCTTAATATAAAATGTGTAAAAATGAATAATGTAAAGGCAAGAGAAACAGCAGTTGCTTTTACATTTCTGATTCTGCCAGGGTTCATGCAGAGAATATTTAAAAGATCCCACTTTTAAAGAACAGTTTGCCGTCTGCTATATTGATTTCCATTATAGCTGCATAGTAAACAAAGGTTCTGATTCTTCGGCCTTTGAGGAAATAGTCACAGCCATATTTTGGGGGGGAAACAAGCCCCCAATCCAACGCTTAGGAAAAAACCCAGTTACGAGAACTGAACCAAGAGATCTCCAAAGCATGAGTTGCTCTCCGTCAAGAAAGTTGACATATACTTTGCACCTCTTGTGTGTTTAAAGGATTGTAAACTTTCCCAAATAACAGAGGCAGGCCTGGATAGACCTCCGGTTCTTCAGCTGTTCCTGAATAAGTTTCTATCCTAAGGGTTGCAAGAGATCGTACTTTTGTAACCTGCACAAAGACACAGAAGAAAAACCAAGCAGATTTAATAAGGAAACAGAAAAGAGCCACACCCACCACAATTATAGCTGCAGAAGCGCCTAGAATGAAAAGAGAGGGGTTGTTTCCAAAAGAAATTCAAATTTTGCTTTTCAGAAGAAGAGTGAAGAAGTTTAGACTGTGAGGCCTATCTGGCAGCAGTGGCAACTCTGCATGCACTTGGGTGTCCCGTTGAAATCAAGAGGGTGTCAGAGCTCACAAATTGACACTGCATTCCAGCTAAAATGTGCATTGACTTGGCATGCAGCCAAACATCAGCAATACTACTAACAATAAAAGTGTGACTTTTGGAAGGCTCTCCTATGCTTTGACTAACCTAGTGAGCGCAAGGAGCTACCATAAGCCCTACTCACATGTTCAAAGGATGCACCAGCTTCACCTCTAACCTTTGTGAGTTGAATCCAAAGGTCTCAAAGGGGATTCTTCAAGCATTCGGGAAAATGCCCTTAGAAGCCTCCCGGAGATCAGGGCCCCAGTGGTGCAGAAAACTCTGTTGCAGAGGAGTCTAAACACGCTCAAAGACCAACCACTTTGACCTCAATGTGCAACAGTTGGCAGCAGAGCCAGTGGGGATTTGGGGGTGGGGTGGGCACCTACAGCCCTGGACCCCCTCCAAAAGTTTTTGGAAAACCTGAATAGGGTGCTATACTAGCACACAAACCAACAGTTGACTGTCCTTGCCAAATATTTAAAGTGAAGTGCCTTGAAGGTTAGCTAGCAGTTTGGTATACTGACAGTGGTTATTCAGGGTATTTTCCAGTTTTCAAAACCCTTTTTTTTTAAAGGCAGAACTCAGATTGAACCTCGAACCTTATAAATGCAACAAAAACACTGATCAAGCTATGGGCAGGCAAAAAGCTAAATATGACAGAGTCTTGGGAATATCCACTGGTAAGTTTGTGGCCTTCCATAACTATTCTTTTAGTACTCACCCTTTTGTTTTCCACTTTCCTTGTTGCCTAAAAAAAGTTCAGTTTGACAATCAGATCATTGTTGACTCTGCCCCGTTTCTCAAAAGCTCTGCTGTTTCTGTTGATGGCAGCAATTGGCTGGTAAAGGGGCACCAAGATATACTAGCTTCTGGTGCTAGTTCATGACATCAGCACCCTATCAGTCATACCAATGTACTGATCGCTATGCCCTGTCCAGAGCTCCATTTTGCCTGCACAACATCTCTTGGACACAGCTCTATAAGAACACGTCTGCTTTCCTAAAGGCCCTATGAAAAGTGATTTTAAAACGGCATTTTGAAGAGCCACAGTCTCTTAACACTAGTATCCTGGCACGTGGAAGCAACACATTGGAGACCACCTGAATGTGAAAAGGATTTTTCCTCCTTAGTGGTGGGGCTGAATATCTGCTGGTTATCGTTTGCTGCGTTTCCTCTTAAACACTGTAGCAGCTGTATGGAAACACTGCTAGCACAAAAGTTAGACTGTGCATACTTTAATAGGTGGAAAGCATGGTTCTATTTATATTCTATTTATATTACGCATAGAGAGCTGCATATTGCTGCTTCACTTTAATGTCTCTCTCCCGAAAGACCTACTATATGTTGAGGGCTTAAAACTGATGTAATGGATGCCGAGTGTTACAACAAGGCATCCTGTGGACTGAAAAGTCTCTGTACGATGGCCAAAAAAGAAAAGAAGACAAATTATGCATGGGGTAGGCATCATTATGGAAATAGAAGGGGTGCACTGCAGACAAAGCCGAGCCCTGCTGCTTTCAATAAGGCAAGGGGCTTTGTGAAAGCACATCCACACTCCAAGAAATGGCCCCCAACGGAAAACAGAGCAGAGGTCCAACACAGAGCCAGCAGGACTGAAAATGGAGTGGGATGTATGCTTTGCCCACAGGTTATTTTGCATATCCCTGTCCAGCAAAGCAACTATGAGTAACCAACTGCACACACCAGGCAAAACAGAAAATCAGCATTGTTTTATGAATAAATCATTTTTTTCCACCTCTTGTCTTTTCCTGGTAATGAATTGACATCGCCCGCCCTCTTTTTTTGCCTCCCCCTGGGAATAGTGGGAGAAGTCATCTTAATGTGACTTTTCCACCTCAAAATATAAACAGTAGGAAAGAGCCTAGTGGATTCAGAATATTTATTCCGCCCAAAGGAAGGGAACATAAAATATACATTGGACATTTCTTCAGCCTTACCTTGATTCTATTTCGGCGAGGAAAGGGGGGCAGAGAACATGCATCTTATCCCATTAGGTGGAAAACGTGTGTGAAATGCAGTGTATGGTTGACGAGCCAGGATCTGAACAACGAAAACCTACACACAACAGTCCACAATGATAAACAACAAATACATTGCACAAAGGGCCATAGAAATGTATGCATGCCTGTTTTGTATGTGTAGTGATTTTCTGTTTGAAGACGGCCTGTGGAAAACCTAGTCTAGTGCTACAACCTCCATCATCATCATCATTATCTTCAGCCTCATTTATTTCTTCTCTCTTGTCCAATGACTGAGCCAAATAGTTGCCTTGCTACTGCTGGCCACCACAATGAACTACAATGAATCCAAGATGAGTCTCAGCTATAAAAGCCAATGCCTTGGCTAGCTCAGTGATCATTGCAGGACAGCCAAATGGGCTGCTTGTTCTGCAAACAAGCAGGGGGAGGACAGGACTGGAGCAGCCTTAGGGAACTTCCTAATATTCAGCTTTACATCCTGTGCTCCCCCTGCATCTCCTACGCAGTGGAAAAGTCCTATTTTGGAGTCCTCCTGCACACTACCTGGGGAACAGAATTAAGTCACAACTATGGTGAACAGCTTTAATTTGTGCACTCTGACTGCAAGGACTTGATAATTATGTATTACAAAACAGACGAGCATGAGACAGGACACGGATCAGTGATAGAGCATCTGTTTTGCATGCAGAAGGTTCCAAGTTCAATCTCCAACTAGGACAGTGCTCTGCAAAGCCAGTGTAGAAAATACTGAGCAGGATGGACCAATGGTCAGAGTAAGTAGAAGGCAACTTCCTATGTTCCAGACTGGCTTGCATATATGAAAAGTAAAAAATATTTTGGGCATTCTTGATTTCTCAAATTACACAGCTTAAAAAAAACAACGAACAAGTGAAGTCCCATTTTATATGCAACATTAAGTCAATGATATTCCAATGAGCTCCCTCTCAAATCTGTGTGTGATGCTAGCTGTGAGATCTTACGCTACTCATGCAACTCCATGTCACAAAGCTGGAGCATACATCTAGGAAAAAACCTCAATTTTTGTCATATGAGCACCTGTTGCCTAAATAAGCTCTTTGTCCTCAACAGCAATTCTGTGCCAGTGATTCCTCTTTTTTGAACCTCAATCACCCTTTTTCCTTCAATCTGTAGTGAGCAGTTAGTGCCCCCTCCCTCCATAGGAGTGTCATTTCTGCTTACATTTTAAATAATTCCCATTATAAGATTTGTCATCTGTGTTCCAGACATCCATTCACTAGTCTTAAGCAAATTGTGATTTGTTTTTTTTCAGCAAAACCGAACAATTTTGCTCGGGAAAGATGAGATTAAATAACAACAATGGATCTCAGAAGAATGAACTGTAGTCTCTTTATTGTTAGCCAATGAATGTTATCCAAAATAATAGGTGTTATTAACTGTAGCTTAATTTTACAACACAAAAGATGCTAAGAAGGGGAGGGGAAGAAGAAGAGGGGAAGCGTGTTGAAAATTCCTTTACCAAGTTATTTTCTTAATGCCTCTGCATCAATATGTGTTTCCTCAACAATTGGTGACAACCATCACCATCACTTTGTTCACAGTGAAAAACCTCATTACAGATGTTAATTCCTGGTTGCTTAGAAAAAAGTCACACAGTTTTATATATGGATTAGATCCATTTTAAACTCTAATCTATACATTGTATATTATGAACAGCAAATCTAACTCGTATTTTCCCCCCTTACACTGATAGTCTGGCATTGTCAATGCACGAACACACATTTCAGGGAAGAGCCATACACTGCATTCCATTTGCTATGGCAAAATATTTTGAACACTTTGGACATATAGGTCTCATGATTTGCTGCATGAAAATGTGCAAGGCATCTGCCCAATTTCTCTGACTGCAAGCAAAAGTGCCCAGGGCAAACATTTGAGCATGTGCACAGCTTTTGCACACCCGTGCAAGGAAAATCAGCTACCAGTGTCTCTGTGTTCCTTTCATGATGTCCTCTCTCCAAGATCTCCCTTAAATTTAAGGGTGGGGTGGGGGACAACCCTCAAGAAGGTTCAATAAGGAATCCTTATTAAAGGATATTTAATAAAATGGCAATTTTAATAGGGAAGTGTAAATTTTAAGTGCATAATACCAAAAGGTTAGCTGAACCATCCTCAGGGAAAGCAGGGCTTTCTCCCAACTACTAATTAAAGAGTTATAAAAATGGTGCGTAATTTCATTCATAAACATGGTCCTCAAAAGTCAACATGCCAACTAATCATCCCAAAGAGCATTAGATAAGGGTGATTCAGCAATAGGTCTAAACATACATTCAATATTCCCTGACTGTATGCTGAACTTCAGCCTGTATGTTTGTTCATACAACTCATTTGCCCCTGTTCTGCCACAATTCCTGTGACTGGACTCCCTGAAAAGCGCATATATATATATATATATATATATATGCACAATTCCCTTGCATCTTCAGTTATCATGGAAGGAACAACCTTGATGTGTAAGTGGGCCCTCAAAGCAAGTACAAGGCAGCATTGTTTTATGCAGACTTCATTAAGAAATGAGCCTCAGAGCAACGTTAATTTAGTACAAAGGAACCCAAGACCCAGAAAACATGCTCAAATGTTTCACACCCTCTCAGTGGATCATATACCAGTTCCAGGTTACATTTTTTAAAAAAAATGGAAGATACATGGTGCAGAATTTTACTCAACAAAAAGGCAGCTGAACACTGTTTGAGTACTACAAATCTATGCAGCAATAGAACAAAATATTTAAAGAGTAAAGGCTCCTAGATTTGTGTAGTGTTTAGCTATGCAGAAACCTAGCATAATGCAGTTTGCGTTTCTATATGGTGTTTGAAAGACCAGTCATCATGCATATCGTAGTGAGGTAGGCTAGTGTCCCCTCCATGGGACTGATGTTTTCATATGCTCCCTTGCCAGAAAGGTCCAGGTTTCCCACATTGCAATTCATATGACAGCTCCCATCTTTCCTAGCCATGCTTGCTGGGGCTGATGAGAGTTGTAGTTCATCTGGAGGGCCAAAGGTTACCTATCCCTGTCTTAAAGAGTGTCTCGATTTTCCTACTTTTATCTGAAGAACTGAAGACTTCAGCAAAACAGACCTATAAGCAAAAGACTTTCTACAGGTTAATGTTCCACTTTTTTTTTTAAGGGGGGAAAAAGGTATGCTGGAACAGCTACCTGCCATCTAGACCTTTGTGAACAGGCAGGCAAAGAAAACCATCAATGATGACAGGACGTGAAACACCAAAGAACTCCACCTAACAGAAGAAAAACAACACCCCGTAACCCCTGATAAATTAAGCAAGTTCTTGCAAATTCACTAAAATGAAAAAAGAAAAGAAAAATCCAAAGTGCACCCATGCCAAAAACTGTGGCCAGTTATAAGGTAAAAGCTAGTGTTCTTTCAAATCATTCCTTAACAGCTTTGTCAGAGTAAGATGGTGCTACTCCTCCAGAGGACAAAGAATAAAAAAAAAAAAACAAAAAAACGTGATATGAGATCATGGAGATGTGACCACCACCTCTCCCAGAGAGCCAGAGCGGACAGGCTGCCTTATTGTTGAACGGCTTTCATGAAATGAGTTTTAACCACAAACTGGTATAAATGCTTTGGCAAGGTGGGGTGTGTTCCTTTCAGAAAGGCCTGCATTTCTCTGCTGGTGGTTCAAGCTTAATGAAGAACATATATGCAAAGTAACAGCTCTCACATTGCTTCAAATTCATCAATGCGCTGCTTCGTATTGCCTTGCCGGATCTGTCGAAGAGTCTTGTATTTATCGCGGCCGGCTTTAACGTTCTCCGCATGAAGGACATCGTTCTGGGTCTTCTTGGTGTCGTCTCTGGCTTGGGCCAGCTCGGAACTCAGGGCCTGTGGAACAAAAGGATTGCCGGTTTAAACGCTGCCAGTTCTGTCAAGTTCAACATTTCATTTGCGGTACAGGATTAATCTTCCAACCAAACAGCCAGAAGGTATACATACATAAAACAAAGGGGTATACATGTGCAAAAGGGGAGATGATATATTCTTGTTCCTTTAGTGGACTATTTTCAGTAAATTCAACTTAAAACAAGGTTTGGAATATTTTTTTCTGGAGAACAGTTATCAGTCTCACATGTATAGCTCCTCAATCACATATTCTTAGAAAGAATTACAATAGAAGGGAACATAATGTGGTTAAGAGAAGTATTAACTTTTGTGTTCACTGTTTGCCAGATTCACTGCTCAGGCCAACCTAGGTAAAGGTAAAGGTACCCCTGCCCGTACGGGCCAGTCTTGACAGACTCTGGGGTTGTGCGCCCATCTCACTCAAGAGGCCAGGGGCCAGCGCTGTCCGGAGACACTTCCGGGTCACGTGGCCAGCATGACAAAGCTGCATCTGGCAAGCCAGAGCCGCACACGGAACGCCGTTTACCTTCCCGCTAGTAAGCGGTCCCTATTTATCTACTTGCACCCGGGAGTGCTTTCGAACTGCTAGGTTGGCAGGCGCTGGGACCGAACAACAGGAGCGCACCCCGCCGCGGGGATTCGAACTGCCGACCTTTCGATCGGCAAGCCCTAGGCGCTGAGGCTTTTACCCACAGCGCCACCCGCGTCCCTCTCAGGCCAACCTATGATACAGCAAAACATAGGCAGGTTAAGATTTGTTTATTTTTTTTAAATTACATTGGGTTTAGTGAATATTCTGTTAGTGCAAAGATTTCTACTTGCATAACAAAACATTCCCCCCTCCCAATCCTCCTGTGTGCCCCTAAATCTGTTCTAGAAGTTCCCCATATCCTCTGGCACAAATTTGGGGAGGGAGACTGGAAAGAGAGGAGGGGGGTGGGAGTCTTGTTACAGAAGTAGAAATCCTTGCTCTGATGGGACACCTTAGTTGACAACCCATCATGCTCTACTAAACTAACTTATTTACCCATCAGATGAAGGAATCATCTGCTTCTGTATTGTATGGATTTATCCTTCAGAATGATGATCTGTACAACAGCATTGCCAGGAAACTCACTTACTGGTTCTGATTGCCTTCTAAATGGTGTCTCTTCGTGCATTATTAAAGGGGCCTAAAGGCCGCTGGAAAGGAAGCTCAGCAGAATGGCCCCTCCAAGAGCTTCAATTAAGATGAAATCTGATCTTAGCTTTCAAAATGCTGTGTTAACTAGCTTAATGCTCAAAATCCAAAGAGAATAAAAGCAACATTTGCGCTCTGTGGTATGAATTTGCATATAAAGGAACTTGCTTGTGTTGGGCATTATGAGCATTTTGTTATTTTCACATGGGGCTGCAGTACCTAGTTCCAAAACAAGATTTGTAAAGCAGCACAAGAGACAAACTGAACGACACTGTTCTCCCGACTGCATTTTCCAAAATACAGGCCACATCACAAAAATATG